TCGTGCATCCCATATAGCAGGCACAGTAATGACCCAATCAAAATCAGTTGTCTGAAAAACATCTTCGTTACGGTTGAGTTGAATAATCAGCTTTTTTTTTATGCATTGAAGTATAAATGCAATGACTTCAACAAGGTAAAACTTTTCACCAGAAAATGACTCAACAAGAGTCTGTCTGTCAATACCCTACAAAGATACATGTTTCAGCTTTTACCATAATAAAAAGAGTTGAGATCTTACTTTATCTCTTTTTAACAGCATCTTGATTCTTTCAAAATAGATATACTGTGGATATTCACTAGCTTTTTTTTTTTCAAACTTCATTCGAGCTGAAGTTCCAAACTCTTCCACAATTACACTTCTTCTATTTCTTTTTAGTAGGATAGCATTTGGAACTCGGTTGGAATGGTCTTCACGATCAAGTATAAGCGTGTTTACTCCAGAATCTTTTGCCGAAGTAGTAGTGTAAGCCAGTGAAACTGATGTGGTACCGAAGTCAATAGCAGCAATATTATCTTCGGAAACACAATAGCCAGCTTCTGTGCGAGGAATCTTATCTGCTTTACTTAGTGGTTTATAGCTTTGCTCTTGATTCCTTTGAGCAACTATAGAAACATTTCCAAATTTAATATAATTTCTAGGCATCGCCATAGCTATGCTATATCTATTTTAGGCACAGATAGAGATACTATGATTCAGGGCTTCAGATATGAGGGTAAAAGGCAGTGGGGGAAGCGCAGTCGGCCGTGTGAACACGCAGAATTATGGTAGCTCTATGTGTGAACATAGTGAACAAAACGGCCAGTCATGCGATTATTCCAAGAAACTATGAATACAATTAAACTTCTTGGAAAGAGTTTGTGACCACACAGGTGGATCGACCATAGATACTATATAGTATCTGTGATCACTGATTTAATAGTGTGTGGAAGAACATAGAAAACGTGAGATGGAACTACAAGACATCACGGAAAAGTAAGATGGGCGTATTTATTAGCCTATATAACTTTTTCATTGTAATATAATAGCACTGGGGAAAGCTGGGCTATGATAAAGGAATATTTAATGAAACTACAAGAACTGAGAAGGTATGCATGGTTACAATGCCAAATGATCAATGATACAAAATGATTATATGTCTTGTAGCAAACTTGAAGGGCGAAGAAGAAGATTGATTGATCTAGAAAACACTTTAAGGTGCAGTGCTGCCATTTTTTGTGTCTACTGAAAATTTTTTTTCACAAAATCTTTGAGCAAAACTAAGTTTTACTCGGAAATTTTATTTATAAATAGTTACGATAGGTTTTAACATTGCCTGTTGTTACTAGAGAAACTAAATTTTTATTTTGAACATGCCTGGTGCATATTCAGTGGTGATTGAGCTCATGACATACTAGCATTATAAAAATTTTTAGGAGCATTAGATGAGTTTTTACTTTCCAGTTTTGCTTATTGTAGCCCCACCCATATAAATTGTGCATGACTTGCTAAAAAATGCACCAGAAAGCAATGAATGATCTCTGAGTCTTTATAAAATCCAACTCAAGATCACTAATTAAATTAGTAGAAAATTGCTATGTTGTGGTGCATCATGCACTTGTTGCATTTTCATTGTAATTTCTATGATCTTAATATGTGCAAGCAGGCAAAATTTAAAAAGAAATAATAATGAGATGCAGCAGTTAGAGAGGTAAGATTTATAATACAGTCATTAGCCTATAGCAAAGAAATGTTTAGAAAAATTGAACAAATTTCCAAAGAAAATGACAAATCAACAAAAAAGTGAGATCAAGTTAGGATGACGACTATCAGATCAGTATTTATTTTTTACAGAATAAGAGCATACATAAGACTTCCACAAGTAATGCAACAGAAATCATGGCAAGAACAACGTTCAACAAAAAGGGATGAGCTAAAAGTATATTACTTTTGACAAGCATTAGCATTTTAATTTTATGTGATAGGAAATTTATCCACAATATGTAAAAATTGTGTTGAACTACATTAGATCTGAACTCTATCAAATTCTTAAGTGTCAAGCAGCAGAGGTTCCTGAAGAAAAAGCTGACACCAGGGAAACATACAAAGTCTATGGTTTATTGCTCAGTGCCTGTGCATTAAAGAAAAGAGACCCAGTAGAACCTGCTGTAGTGAATCAGGTGATTATATAATGATTAAACACCTTCTCATAGCATTTGAACTTTAAAAGGTCGTGAAAGATACTCAAAAAACTTACAAGAGAAGTGAGACCCTCATTATACAAGAGTATGTAGTCAAAGCCATTACATTGACACATAATATGCTAACACTGGTACCTCCTTTACTAATCACGACTGAGATCAAGAAATACAATGAAGCACTCCATGATGTAAATCGAGCCACATGGAATGATGATAGAAGGAAAGAACGTTTGATATATTATCGTCCTATTTTACTAGATGGTAATCAGTTACATATTGCAGAGAAAGGTTTGGTAGGAAATAAAATTGAAGAAGAGTCAAAAAAGCAACAGCACCAACAAAAATTACAATTGGAACTACAAAAGGAATCAGTAATACAGGAACATCGACAAATAGAAAAACAGCATCAGCAGTCACAAGAAGCAAGTAAGAAAGCATTCCAACCCTTCAATAATAATAAAAGTGCAGAGAAAATTTAATCAACTTTTATATGCATCTCTTTATTTGTCAAAAATAATGTGTCTTGTTCCTCAAAAAAGTGTTTTTGTTCATTTAGTTGTATCATCATTATTTTAGTTAAATGTGCAGCTTGTAAGGGAGTACTTCACAATGGTGATGAAGGGTATGAATGAATAGTTTTTGTGTTTTATTACTATTATAACAGGGGTACTCTTGATTGCATGTATCACATTGGTTTGTTTTGGCATAAACAACATTACAAATGTTTTTTATGCGATAAAAAAGTTGTGTATGGAAATTTCAAGTATTTTGAGGATAACAACGTTGTTTATTGCAATGGATGTGCATCACATTCTGATAAGGTATATCTATAATGTTGCAATGAACTCAACTTTTCATTTTAGGTTATGAATGACACACAACGCATTACTGATAAATGCACATCAGTATAGCCAAGAGTCTTGGTGTAGTTTATTGTAAAGACGGGAGGGGCAGAGTTAATTCTTTAACTATTTTGATTGTGAAATTGTTATACAAAGAACAAAAAACTAATTTGTGTATTTAAGAAAATAGTCCTAGCTAACTAAATTTCATACTTTAATGTGTTCTAGTTTTGGTTTGTTAAAAAGTCACAAACTGTTTTTACTTCTTTTCCAGTAAGGCTATACTGAGCTCTTGCTTGTATCTCTGTACCACTGAAATCCATAAACACATCAATTTGTCTCTTATTTCTTGGTATATTATCAGGATTAGGAATTTCAAGAATTAACTCACCAATCTCACGTACAATTAGTTTGTCTTCTTTATCTCTTGTATACGAAACACTATCATCTGCTGTGGAGTAGATAGGAATACATTCTTTTGTTGTATTTTGATAAAGAGGTATAATTGTGGTTTTATATACTTCATTCTTTATTACTTCTCCTTTAAGCACAAATACCTCAAAGACATTGCGACAACATTGTACACCATCTTCTACATCCAGGAACTTGTAATATTCATCATGTCTTGATGGGTCAAATACAGGCCCACATTCTATCCCATAAGTAGCATCAGCTACACGTGATTGGATTATGGTAGGATCTTTCCTCCACATTACTGCCCCTGATACAACAGCAAGATCTGGTTGTTTAGGACACACTATATTATCAAAAAGTATACCGCAATGCTGAGCAATGGCTTCTTCTATCTTTTGTCTAACAAATTTACACCCTCCAAATCCTCCTACTAGATACACTGTATCAATATGATCTGTTAGCTCATCAAATGCTGCTCTCACGCACTCTATGATCTTATCAACTGTGGATTTGAATATCTTCTCTTCTAGTAAATCGTATCCTATGCTTAAGGAATCATCTCCTGGATCATAGCACATGTTCAGCTTGCTTGCTTCATGTAGCTTACCACTACCATAGTGCTTCATAAAAGTTCTTGGTAATGATAATGCTATTTCATTGGTACACTCTATTGCATCTCCAAACCTTTTTTTTCGCTCTTCAAACTCTTCATAAAAAAACTTGTTTAGCGTAGCTCTGGCGCTGATGGGGTTGGATTCTATAAAAGATTGGAAGTCTCCATCACCTACTGCTTTTCCCAGTAACATTGACAATGCCTCGTTGATTGTTGTTCCTCCACAGGTGTTTCCCATTGGTGGTAGTACTACACTAACTTTCCCATTACTCTTATCATGTACAGTAATATCAACTGTACCTCCTCCTATATCAACTACCATATATCTCTGTGGAGGTGTTCCTGATACTTCTGACTGATGCTGTGCATATATAGCAGCTACTTCTGGTTCTAGAGCCAATGATAGCTTCTCAGGATTAACTTCCTCTGGACGTGGTAAAGCAGGTGAACCAACTGGAGTGAACTTTGTTATACCAGGACCATCAGAAGTCAGACCAGCCTATACAGTATATATAACATAGTGAAATACAAAACATTTAGCTTACCATATAAACAGCTTCTCTCATCATTCTTCTTGCTCTTGCT